ACGCGCCGCTGGAGGTCTCCCTGCTCGCGCGGATCGGCTCCGGCAGCGCCTGTCGAAGCGCCCACGGGGGGTTCGTGCGATGGCGAAAAGGCGACCGCGACGACGGCGAGGATTCCCGCGCGGCGCCCTTCGTCGAGGCCGGGTACTGGCCGGAGATGCGCATCCTCTGCGCGGTGGTCAAAGGCGCGGCGAAGGCGGTCCCCAGCTCCGCCGGGATGCAGCGCTCGCTGGAGACGAGCCCGATGATGGCTTCCCGCATCGCGGAGGTGGTCCCGCGACGGCTGGAGCTCGTCGAGGCGGCGATTCGGGCGCGCGACTTCGAGAGCTTCGCCGCGATCGCGATGGCGGAGTCGGACGACCTGCAGGAGATCTGCCGCACGACGACGCCGCCGATTCAGTACGCGACGGAGGATAGCTACGCGATGATTCGGCTGATCAAGGCGTTTAACGCGAAACGCGGGCGAAACGTCCTCGGGTACACCTTCGACGCCGGCGCAAACTGCTTCATGTTCACCCTCGTTCAGGACCTTCCGGAGGTGGTCGCGATGCTCATGGCGCACTTTCCAACCGATCCGGAGAAGTTTTACTTTCAGGAGGAGCATTTGATATCGGCGTGCGCGCAGGCAAAGGTGCCCGACGGCTGTGCGAATCTTATCGATTATCCTAAAAAGAGCTTCGAGATGCTTCTCGAATCGTGCGTGGGCTCGGGAGTCAGGCAACTTGGGGATGAGGAATCCCTTAGCAAGCCTTAACCCGTTCGACCCATTGGAACTAAATATGAGGACAAAGGCCTCTAATAAAACGAGGAATTTTTATTCATCTCGTAGTCGTAACTGTAGTGGAAAGGGAAAAGATTATAATGTACTTTCGATTTGGGGTGGAATATTATTGTTCTCTACTATTATCAATGTAATAATGCGTGTGAGTGTTTATGTGTACTGAGTGTTTTTTTTTTGTAAGCTTTCTCTTCAATAGTTCATGTTAATATTGTTTTCTTTTCAGTGCGTAATCTATTGATCTCGGAAAAACAGGCCCTCATTGGTGCACCCAAACGCTTATCGATTACTTTGAGTTCATTTCACGAGCCTGCATCATATCTACTGCACACACACACACACACAAACGCAAACGCAAACAAACAAACAAATAACCCTTACCTCTTTCTTTTGTGTTGATTATCATTGTTGTTAGGATTTCATATAGTAGTATTTCGTTGTTTTTGTTCTAAAAGAATAGAACGCAGATTCGCACATTTGTACACGATGCGTCGGTGTGTTGTGGCATTTCAACGTCGTGCGGCTGCGCTTTTTGCGAGCTCACCCATCAGTTATCGTAGCAATTCATTTCGACCCTTTACTGAAAAAGATGAGGATGACCTTGTCAGGGTGGTGAAAACCAAGCCGCACCACGTCCTCAAGCACGTACGCCAGCAAGTCTGGCGCTCAAGAAGACGCGAAGTGCACTTTAGAAACACCGTTACGCAGCTGATGATTATTTTGCAGGAGTTTCTCCGCAAACAGATGATCGACCCCGCACATGCCTCGCAGATCATAGAAGGTGTTCTCGAGGAATGTGTGACTTACTCTCAGCACGATATGGCGCACCTCTTGTTCCGCGCATTTTTGCGCTTCCGAAAGTACGGATGCGTCATCTCCGTCAACGCCATTCGCCACCTGTTCGAATCCTACAAAACGATCAACAGCGCCGAGTTGATGCTCCAACTCGCGCAGGAGATGAAGTCGGATGTCGCGTTGCGGCCGCTCTGCGCAGCTGCCTATCTGTTCGCCAACGACGAGGCTGCAGCTGATGCGCTTCGCGAGGGGCTCTCGCTCGTGGAGCTCCCCAAGGAGGATATTCTCGCGCTGGTCGCCGGTTACGATCACATGGGAAAGACGGAGAAGTTGTTTGAGATTTTGGACAGCCTCAAGGATGGCGCGAGGGAGCCTGCGGAGAAGGCCGAGGTCTACGGTGCGCTGCTGCGGGTCTTTCACAGGCGCAACGACGACGCGTCGTTCACGCGCGTTCTGCAGTCCGCCTTGGAGGCGAAAGCGCCGCTCGATAACGCGACCTTTTCCGTTATTTTGCGGCGTAAGCTGCGTGGCGTGGCGAGCGCGGAGGAGATTGAATCCATTGAGGAGGAGCTGAAAGAAAACGGCTACGTTCCGGATATCACGGGGAACTCCATCATCATTACGGCCTACGCCCGCCTCATCCGCTATGGCGATCACGGTAGTGATGAGCTCATGCTGTCGAAGGTCGACATGCTTCTCTCCTCGATCGAGTCGCGTCTAAAGGAAGGGGATCCCGACATGGATATCAGTGCCGCTCACATTCGATCGATCATTCGCGGCTACGGCGCGGCTGGGCGGCCGGAGAGTATCAAAAACGCCTGGTCTAAGCTCCAATTCAAGGGCTTGACCGACGACGTGGGCATCTACAACGAAATGCTGAAATGGTTTGCCTTGATGGGCAGCGTCAAGGACGTGCTCGCCTTGAAGGAGGAAATGGAGCGGGAGGGGGTGAGGCCAGATTCCACCACCTACACATGGATTCTGCGCGCGCTTGGCAAGTTCTACCCGCGCCATGTCGAGGAGATATCCAAGGAACTGGAAACACGGCGGGTGCGACCAAACATTTACCTCTACAACACGCTAATTGGTATTTGGGGGGACCTTCAGCAGTTCGACCGTGTGGCTTCGCTTCTTGATGAGATGCGGAAGCGGGAGGAGTCGAGCACGCTGCAATTCACGGCGATCACGTTCGCGGTGCTCATCCGGGTCTACTCGAAGGATGTGGCAAAGTCCGAGGAGCTCTACGCGGAGGCGAAGAAGCGGAATTTCGCGGATCACCCGCATGTGCAGACGAGCATGCTGCACGTCTACGCCACTGATGCCCTGACTTCCAACCACGAGAACGGGAAGCTTGAGAAGCTTCTCGCCGAGATCCCCTCATGGAGCATTGATGTCTACAACGTCCTCCTGAACCTGTACGGCCGGCAGAAAAACCGCGAAAAATTCGAGGCGACCCTCCAAAAGCTCGAGAACGACGCCGTCTCGATGAACGACGTCACGTTCGGGACGCTCATCACCGCCTTCGCGCGCTGGGGGGAGGTCGCGCGGGTGGATCAAACGATCGCCCTCGTCCGCGCCCACCATGGGGAGGTCACCGCGACCTTCTACTCCGTCCTCGCCTCCTCGCTAAGCCGGATGGGGCAGACCGGCGGGGTGCAGGAGGCCTGGGAGGACCTCCTCGCCTCCCGTCTGTTCCCCGGCACGGCGGTGTACAACCAATTCCTCACCCTTTACAGCCGACAGGCCGACCTGGCGCGGATGCAAGGGGTGCTCGACAGCATGATGGCGCAGGTCCCGCCGAACCCCGTCACCGCGACGACGGTTCTCGACCTCCTCGGGAAGTCCGGGCAGGTGGCGGAGATGGAGGCGCTCTTTGCGGATATGAAGGCGAACACGGACACGCAGCCGACGGCGGTCACCTATCATCAGGTCATGAACGCCTACGCGAAGTCGGGGGAGGTGGAGAAGATGGAGAAGATCCACGAGGAGTACCTCCAGAAGGGGTTCACGGACAGCGCCGTCACGAATAACATCCTGTTGGACGGCTACGGCCGCGCAAGGGACCTCGTGCAGATGGAGGAGGTCCTTCAGAAGCGCCAGGCCGATGGGATCCCGCTCGACGACTTCACCTACTGCGTCATGGTCAACGCCTACGGTAGGGTGAAGTCGGAGAAGGGGGTGATCCGTCTTTTTGATCAAGTGTCTGATCCTGCCAACGCTTCCGCCCCATCAAAGCGGGTGGTTTGGTCGTGCTTAGATGCTTTCTGCCGTTGCGGGAACACCGAATATATGGAGAAGGCAATCCAATTGCTGCAGAGCGCGAACGCTGACAACAAGTTGCTTCCGTCGGATAGCATCAGGCTCATTTCATACTACTGCCGGGCCGGCCTCATGGAGAAAGTTGAAGAACTGGAGAAGGAGCTCACAGGTCGTGACGAGGCGCTGAGCTACAGCGCGCTGAATACCATGGCGCGAGGCTATGCGCGCGTCGGGCGTTTTGACAAGACCGTGGAAGTCTTGCATCAGCTTCGAGATCGAAATCTGGTGCCGGATGCCTCAACCACCTTGCACTTGTCGGGAGCATTTTTGAAGGCTGGATTGCACGAACAAGCGAAGCAGGTCATTGAGTGGCGGCGCCAGTATGCAAAGCTGGCTGAGAGCAGCAAAGCAGTTGTAGAGGGTAGTGATGATCTATAGCGGGTATTTGTGGACTTTGGGGATCGCACACGTTCTAGAAAAGTAAGATTAGTTAGTGCCATGTTGGATCACCGAGGCTGGGTGTTAGTTAGGCAATCTTTAAGTCATGACTATTTTCTTTTTACACCTTTATGTTTTTTTTTGACGTAATGCCTCATATTTATTGAAAATCAGTTTGTGCGCCCACGCCTGGGGTGCATCTGCAGGGGCACCTTTTTCCGTTGTTAGATTAATTAGTGATGAGGGAAGCATATCAAGGCGTACATGATGAAAATCGAAAGCCTTTTTCAAACTAAAATATTTTACACTATGCGAACCTGGGCTGGACCTGGATTTCTGAATGAGGCACCTCTTCCTTTCCCCCTTCCCCTTCCCCTTTTCCTATCTCAACACAACAAGAAAGGAAGCAATCGAGGGGCTGCGTTTCACTTCTGTCGGGGTGCTTTTCACTTCGAAAAGTGCGCATTCCTGATCCCTTCGATTCGCTACGCTGACGGAAATGGGGTGGAGAGGGGGCCAAACCCCAGCAAAACAACGCGCACGTGAAAGGATGGCACCAATTGGGAAAACAAAAGGCACAGTGATTTGGTCTGTTTCATCTTAAAATCGCTGTCCACTTTCCTCATTCGTTAAATTTTATTGATGTCATTTTGCCGTAGTGTTTGGGCAGATTTTGCCCCGCTTCGCTGCCACAGGGGAGAGGGGGGTGGCTCAGCCCCTCATATATCCGGGACGCGAAGCCCCCGCGTCCTCCCCCTGCCAGGATTGTTTTTGCCCCCCAAGGTGCGCACTTTTTATCATCTACGTGAAAAAGAAAGAGGGATCAGAATGAATGAATGAAACCTCAGCATCATATCACAAATAAGTGGAATATTCCGCCTTCACGTTTTTTATTTACTAGGTTCATGTGGCTACTGACTTTTTGCAGCCCCATCGCTAAGCAAGCAGGGCTACATTGTGAAACAAAACGTAGTCAAATGCAAGTTGATTCAACACAACATTTAAAACATCAACAGCGGTAAAAAAAAAGTATATTTGTCATAAAGCAAGCAAATTTAATAATAAGTGTGTCTATCTTCGTTCTTCCCTTTTTGCCTTACACTGATCAGTGGGGATTCATTCAAGGTTCAATGGAAGTAACAAATCCCTTAGAGGAGTCTGTCGCGCAGCTGCAAGAGACGTATGTATGCGCTGTGCAAGCTCCAACAAATCAAACGATGACCCTCCTGTACCGATATTCTCTGTACCACCATCGCTTATCGAATCGTCGTCGTTATTGTAATCTTCAGCATCAGGATGGAGTGGTAGTGCAGCCATAGTGTCGAGCACGATGCCCACTGAGCGCGGCAAACGCTGCTGCTGCTGCACCTTCACATTTTTCGCATCAAACAATGTGGTCGCCATTCGTCGAACAAAATCGGGCGGTGCGATATCATTGAGCTCCATTTGAGCAGAAGCATCACACCCCACACCTTTATCCGGAGCGTCCGCTCTTGGCAGCCGCGAAAAGGATGTAGTCAGCAGCGGGATCCCCGCGTCTGGCATTTCCCGTGGAGTGGAGGACTTGATTGCTAATGAAGAAAAGGCACCACAGCCCCCTTGTGCTAGGGAGAGCGGCGTCATGCGAGTCGATGGGAGTCGAGGGAGTAAAGATGGTGAGAGCATTCCACAAGTTGGTATTAGGGCGGCAGTGGGCGCCAAGGAGGGCGTACACTGCGACTTTAAAGACCCACTTGGGGATGGGGTTGCTCGGTCGCGGATGGCTGGGGCTGCATTCGTTGTGGGTGAGACTATACGAGCTCCCCCTCCCGGTGTTGCTAAAGTGCATTCAAATACCTTTCCCCGCGTCATAGAGTCACCTTTCCGAGGCGAGGGATGTGTTCCTGTGGAATCAAGTCTGGCCGATGTGGTTGGCGGTTGATTGCTTTGTTTCGTTTGCGTGAGGAGTTGCGTGCGCGCGAGCGCGTTGGTGGTAACAGTAATGCGGATAAGATCAGCGATACACCATCGTTGTGGGCGAGTGCACTCCACATCAAGCTTGGGGATCTCCTCTTTTTTGCCATGGATAGTGATTAGGAACCGTTTCACATTGCTAGTCTCCTCAGCGGCATTTTCGGTGTCGGCGCCACTTCCTTGCATGCTCTGAAGAGAGCTATCGCAACCAAAGGTCCCGTTCGCGTCACTCTGCAGCAGACACTGCGATACATAACGTCGGATATTGCTTACTCGGAGATAGGTGTATATGATGCGCACCAACATGTTTAACTCTTCAAGCTGTTCGCAACTGGACGGAATGGAGTTTTCGAAGTTAGCGTCACGATAGTCCACCAACTCCCATTGTTCTATAACAACATCGTTGTAAGTCACAACTAGGTAAAGTGGACCTGCAAAGGTTAAGCCTTCCGTATCCCATGGGCCCTCAGAGGATGCCTCTTTGGCCAGTGTGGACCACAAATCTTCGGCTTCTGTGAAAGCTCCTAGATCAAACATGCGAAGGCCGCCGAAGTGGAAAGAAACAAGACTGCCAGCGTTGAAAAGGATGATATCGCATTGTTCTTGGCGCCCGTTGCGAATGAGGCGCAAAAAATTCACTAGCAACGGGGTATTATCTGCAGAAGTTTTGTATCCCTCCATCTATGCTTAGCAATACAATAAATGCGAGATACAAATGTGATAGAAGACTAAACCAAAATGTGAACCCTAGAGGCAATCCACACACACACGTTAGCCTACGAGATACTGAGGTCTGAGCCTAAAATGAAGAATTGGAGACAAAAATTGGGGGGGGGGGAGGATCAACCCTTTTCCAAGTATATTACCAAAAGTCATGAGTTCCAATGCACACTTGAAGCCCGTCCCATTCCTTTTGTTACTAAGTTCAACAAGTACTCCGTGGTTGCCCGGATAAGATCTTAAGGGAGAAAGTGCTGTGCCTCCTTAAACTACACAATTACTTTGTTCGCCTTAGCAAGGGTAGTTGGCTGTAGTTCAAACCCTGAGCTACTTAATAGAACACTGTCAAGTCGAACCGGTCTTTTACTCATGCTATTCTTGGTGTCGTCACACAAATTGATGCTGAATATTCAAATGGAAATCTTGTGTTTGGTAATGACGGTCAAAAACGATGAAAAACAATAAAGCTGTGTGTACTCTGATCAAAAGCACCTATAAAGCAGTGAGTTAACTCAGTCGTCACGGACACTTGGCGCCGTGATGGAATACGTAGTCCTCATTGACATTTCAGATGATACCCCCGAAAGAGTTGGACAGACGCGATGAAGAGACAAGATTAACTATCGTTGAATGTCAACTTATACACCTAAAAAGAAAGTAAATATTGTTATCCAACATATAAACCGCTGCCTCTAGCCAGACCAGAACTCATCACACACGCTGAACTCCACATCATCCCGCACTTGCTGAATCAACGTGGTACAGGGGACTATGAAGAAACGCATTGAAACGTGTGCCATTCTGCAAGGCTCTCCATATAGGGAAGGGAACAGCAAGCCTTTATACTCTTTAAGGGGACTCTAGTATTACGATCTAGGCTTACCCGAATGGCACCAGACAGACAGCCCCTGGAATAATCGGTTTTACTATGCTTTCCCACTCTCAAAAACTAGAACTAGTCTAAAATGCCTCAGGACAGAAGCTAATCCCGCAGATTCATAGCATCGCAGAGCCTACATCACCACGGACCCTTCCTCGAAGACTTTCACGTGTAACTGGCCGCCTAAATACAGCCCTGGTATTTGCATGCATATACGGATTTGATTTGATTCAATAATGGAAATAAATGAATTGTATTAAAGAGTAATGAACGACATAACCCTCTGAGAAAATACCATGTGAATGAAATTAAGTAGCCTCAGCTAATGAAATAGAAAAATAGATAAGTGAAAGAAGTGTAATAAATTCGTGAGAAAAAAGCACAGTCTTTTACGGTAATATAAATGGAACACTGCTTGCAGTGATTATTTCCGAGTCAATTTGGAACAAAATTTCGTACTGATGATTGAAAAGAAATCATTATTGCGGCTTTAATAAGTAACATGCTAAGCGGGTACAGAGGGGGGAGGGGGGGGGGGGAGAGAAGGCTACCTACGCTAAATCTAGAAATAAGAAGCAACCTAACAGAGGTCGAAACGTCGTTTATAACTATATTCCTACACGCCTTCACTTGCTCAATATACTTTTGAAAATTGTAGAAAAAATACTACTGCACTGTGACCAACCCCAGAAACCCTGCTTGGAATAAAAGAAAAGCTAATTCCAGTTGCGTACAATCTTTCCCTCCCAGTTCAGCTTGTCGCCCTTTTGCATGGTGTAGTAGCGATGAGTTTTCCACCGACGCCACGGACTACCAGCCTTGCCCCAGTGTGGGTTAGCACCCCAAAACTTCTCAATGCGTTCATGCAGCAACGGCTCGAAATGACGGATAAGGCCCTGCACGGGCCACGCAGCGGCCGTGCCAAGAGCACAGATGGAGCGACCTTCGATCTGCTTAGACACATCCCACATTGTGTATACATCCTCCTTTTTGGCGTTTCCACTTACAAAGCGCTTCATCATCTTCTCAAGCCAGGGGGCGCCCTCGCGGCACGGCGTGCACTGCCCGCAGGATTCGTGCTGGTAGAACTGCGAAAGCCGCTCAATGGCGTCGATGACATCCGTGGACTTGTCCATGACGATCACCGCTGCAGTCCCGAGACCGGTCTCGTATCGCTTTAAATCGTCAAAGTCCATTAAAGCGTTGTCACAGATGTGTTTTGGGATTAACGGGCAGGACGAACCGCCTGGGATAACGCACAATAAATTATCCCAGCCCCCTCGGACACCACCCGCATGCCGCTCAATCAAGTCACGCAGCGGGATACTCATCTCTTCCTCGACAGTGCAGCGCCGGTTGACGTGTCCGGAAATACAGAACAACTTCACACCAGCGTTATTCTTGCGTCCGAAGGATGCAAACCACTGAGGGCTTCGGCGCAGAATGGTAGGCGAAACAGATACCGTTTCACAGTTAGTGACGGTAGTCGGGCAGCCGTACAGCCCAACATTGGCTGGAAAAGGCGGCTTCAGTCGTGGCTTGCCTGGGCCACCTTCTAGGCTCATAATCATAGCGGTCTCCTCACCACAAATATACGCCCCTGCACCACAATAAGTGTAGAGGTCAAAATCCCAGCCACTGCCGCAGGCGTTCTTTCCCAGATAACCTTTAGCGTAAGCTTCATGAATCGCCTTATCTACTGCGCGATACTCATTGTAAAACTCTCCGCGGATATAAATGTACCCGTATCGAGCCCGCATCGCAAATCCAGCGACGAGAGACCCCTCCACGAGTTTATGTGGTTCGTGACGCATAATCTCACGATCCTTACACGTGCCTGGCTCCGATTCATCACAATTTACGACAATGTAACTTGGCCGGTCGTCTGGTTTCTTCTTCGGCATAAAAGACCATTTCAAGCCAGATGGGAAACCGGCTCCCCCGCGGCCCCGCAGCCCGCTGGCTTTGATCTCGTTAATAATCCAATCATGTCCCTTGAGGAGGAGATCTTTGGTCCGATACCAGTCACCACGCCTTTCAGCCGCCTCAATACTTGTTCCAAAGTCATTATAAAGATTTGTAAAGATGCGGTCCTGATCCTTCAAACCACCATGCACGCGTTCCAAGAGCACACCACTGTGCGAGAAAAATCCCGCCACCCTACGCATTGGTCAACACGCTAAATTTTTTGCCCTAAAAGATCTAATAGAAAAACTATTCACTATAAAACTAAAACTCGGTGCTTATATTGTAGCTCGAGCGATAGGAAAAAAATGCTATGACAACCTCCTAGCTTTGCTTTTGGTTTCTTACTCGGATGTGTCCCTACCTTTACAATCACCCCACGAAGAGCATCACAGCATCAGATATAAGAAATAGAGGAATGATAAAAATCGAAGCGGCCACCACGATACACAAGGTCGGTTCCTTACAGGCGAAAAAAGGAACCTATAGCATCAAGAGTCGTTGGGAAAATATCGATAGATAGATATTTTGAAAGACATATGAAGCACAAAGTCACAGAAAGTAAGAAAATATGCATTAGTGTATTACAAAAAGAAGTAGCCATTATATATAGCTCCAAGACAATAGCATGTGATCTAAATGCAGAACCACGCTTTTTTCTTACACACATTTCTACAAGAAAGCTAAGTATATAGCACATCTAATTCAAAAGAAAAAGAGGTATAACTCAATAAATTGCATTGCCTGAGATAACTAAATTGAAATTGTGGAAGAATCCCATCTATCTGCGCAATACAAAAATAAAAAAGGTATTAACCATGCTTTTCGTGTAACACTACACTTTGGAATTCATTTTCGAAATTCATTCCGCACTGCCACTTGTTTTATAAATTTGCTGAAGTGCTCTTCCACACAGAGATAAAGATACTGCTGGATGGCTAAGTATTAGATTGGTAAAATAACAGCCATATGTCTCACACATCTTTATTCTATAAAAAAAAAACACTAAGGAAACTCTCCCCTTTAGGTGATCGCGATGCAACAAGTGCTTGCAATAATACACTAAGCGCATCCCCAAGTGAAGTCAAGCCCCCCAGCCGTTATGCGAGAAGGGAGAGAGCGAGAAGGACACGGATAAGCAGCAGCAATTTCCACCCCGCGTAGGGCCGCGGCAACTGGGACCACCACCACTACCATAACGAGGAACCGCCCTACACGTTATACCCACCATAGGCACAGCTTAGAAAATAATGGGTTCATTGCTTCGAAACTTCCATTAATTCAGCCTAACCAAAAGCACTTTTTCCGCAAAGTACGCATATGGGAATGTGTTTAATTTACTATTGACGCCTTTCACAATTGATATTATAATGGGGAAAGTCGTATTTTAAAATTCGTGTGAACCATTTCTTTGGAAGGGGCATTGTACTCCTGCAGAAATCTGCTGATGAACCTCACTTAGAATGCTTGGAAATAGTCGATGCTTTACATTTATTTACTTTACAATATCCCATGCTAACGGCACCATTCGGCAAAGAGGGCAACGACTAATCTGTTGTGCGTCATGTACACACAGTACGTTATTGCAACACCAAAGCCTGACAAAGCATCCCTCTTCAGGCTTTTCCAAACAAACTGCGCATATATCCTCATCAATAACGTTCAAAGATATGGGCGTCGTTGTTTCCTCTAGGTTTTGAACATTATTAACTATACAGCCAGTGGGATCGACATTGTGTCTAATTCCCATAATTTCGCTAGCATTTTGACCTTCGATATTGTTCATGGTAAAGGCATGAATCCTCGCATTTTGTGTATTGGAGAGGACTTCCGAATCCATATTGACACAGGTATGTGAGCAGAAGGTATGAAAATAAAAAAAAATGTAATCAAATTCCCTACCTACTATTAAATCGGAACAAAGCTCCACGGAAAAGGGAAAACAGTCGTATATAAATAGAAAATAGAACATCCAAATACACGAAAACTTCATAGTATATTTTTTTCTAGATCCAATTCTATTATGACTGGGATTCAGAGATGCTTTAAATTTTAAGTAGTTCGGTGCTAAGCCGAAGCCGAGCGCAAAACAAAAGTCCTTTACTGTTTTGGTTCCCATTTAAACAGGGAGCCTGTGAACTTTTAAACGTTTATGTATTAGAACAAAATCGAACAGGGTGTCAAGTATGCATTTTCCTCCCTCAAAATACGACATGAAAATGGACGAAAGAACAATGAAGGTTAGTGACCGCACTAGTGGAAGGAGACAAGCCATTCATCAACGCTGAGGAAGATTGCAATAGTCGCTTATTGATGGTCGGGCATATACATTCGATCACGGGTCTGTGACACATGTGCAGAAGCATTTGCATTCACTCGGTGAGAAGCTTCCTGTTTCTCTTTTCGAATTCGAATGTTTTTCTCACGATTGGCAACGATCGTTTCTTGCGAAATTGGCTTGTCCCTTCTACGGTTGTGATCCTTGTAGTCCTCATCGCTGCGTCGCATCTGCTGCCGTTGGGCACCGTCAACCTCTTTAGAATTTTCCTCCGTTGTTGCTTGAGGGAGTTCCTGAATTTCTAACCCTGACTCCTTTTTAGAATGAAAACGACTGGAAGCCTGACGCTTGCGTAGCACCTTGGCGCGGTAGTGCATGTAGTCCTTGTTATCAGGAAGAGATGTTATATCCATCAGCTGCCGCAAGTCATCGGCGATTTTGAGCGGCATGCACTCCTCACGCGTGGGACGTTCCTTCGGCAGCGGGGCTACTTTACGCATCACAATCAACCTGCGCACCACTTTTAGTGAAAGACGTTGTGGAAGGTCATACTCTAGCTCCAAGCACGGATGCCTCGCGAGTTCATCGCGGGTGTAGTGATCTGTGGTTGGGAACCAGAACGCCAGACGACCTCCCACGCGCAAATGCTCGGCGGCAAACAACACCAAGTCGAGCCCTACTTCATGAGTGCTATAAGATGATACTAAAAATTTAGACGATCCATCTTTTGAATCATTCGGATCGTCTGACGATGATGGGTGGTCCACCTTCTCGAGTCTCTTCCGTGGCTCGCGAAGACCGTATGGAGGGTCTGTCAAAATCACGTCAAAAATTTCAATCCCCCGAAAGCAACACTTCCAGCTTGAGAAATTCATGCGTACGCACTCGGGTGGACGTAATCCATATAATGTGAAGTTCGATTTCATGGACGGTAGGAGGCGCTCCTCGGCTGTCAGAGCGGATAACTCTTCCTCCGAGTAAGCGCTAAGAGCTAATTTGCGTTGTTGCTGCATTTGTAGGCTAGAAGACACCTTTCGACTGCCGCTTCGCATCGCACGGCCGTCGGCATCCATGCCGATTGTGTGAGCCCCACAATGAGCCGCCGAAACTAGCAAGCTGCCAGTTCCGCAGAAAGGATCACACACGTAGTCAGCTGGCTGAATGCTGCATACGTTTGCCATGGCAATGGCCTCTTCGGGTGGCATGGAAGTCGTACCGATGTACGGCCGCTTCTTCAGGTCATACTTTCCTAACATCTGACTTCGGTTGGATTCGAACAACTGTACTACATGAAAAGCACGTTGCACAGGGCCATCTGGCCTCCACTGACCCTGTGATCTAGGTGGCGCGTCAGAAACAGAATGCTGAATGAAAATTAAAAAACGATGAGTTGGTGATTTCCAATTCATAATACTTGGTGATCCATTTGTCGTGGACCGTTGACTAATGAAAAAATCCACGATCTTCTTTTTTTCATCCATGCTGTACTTTTTGCCGATAGTCTCCACTTCATAACAGAAACTGTCATGAGAGAACTGATCCTCATCTTCGCCAAGAAGAACGGTTGATGCTACTTCTGAGTTAGGAGCCCCACATGCCCGATCGAGGCGCCATTGGGTGAGAGCCTCCAGAGTTGAGGCACCCTGCAGAAGCACATATATTCCCCGTAGAAGAATACATCGACTTGCTATTTTTTTCATCTTTTTTTCAATTTCATCTTTTCCATCTCCATTACTATCAAAGACACAAAATACATTGCTTTCATCATCTTGAAGACAATCAAAACTGTCCAGGATGGTAATATCGACATGTAGCGCGCGTGCGACCGCGATAAACTCTGCCAAACGAACCTTGGCAAGTGAAGGCGAAGATGCGAAAATTGCAACAAACCTCATTCATAGGAATAATATGTTGTCAGAATCTAAATGTATACTCGGTCTCTTTAACTTTTAAAAAGTATGAGAGGGGGAAAAATAATCCAACCTAAATGACAAAAATGGGAAGAGTAATTATACTGACAAATTTGGGAAAGCCTTAAATAAGGAAATATTACAAGTTATTTTTTAAAAAAAATTCATTGAATGAAATAAAGAAAAGTAAAAGCCAAGAATAAAATGAACAAAAAACGGATAGGCGTGGGTCTTATGGCCCACATCTCCTTTTGAAAAAACAAAAAGAATTTTATATTCCCTTTTTGTACAGGACAAGAAAATAAAAGAATTTGGCTTTAAAATACGCAATATAAGACAGTGGCGTTAGCTTTCCGCCTTCAACTAGACCGTTTCCTGAAGCTGTGCCTATGGTGGGTATAACGTGTAGGGCGGTTCCTCGTTATGGTGGTGGTGGTGGTGGTCCCAGTTGCCGCGGCCCTACGCGGGGTGGAAATTGCTGCTGCTTATCCGTGTCCTTCTCGCTCTCTCCCTTCTCGCATAAGGGTTGGGCGGCTCGACTTCACTGTTAAGGAACATGTCAATGGAAGGAACGATAAGAAAGCAACGGTGAGCGTTATTATCACTCTCAGCGCAAGAGATATTTTAATCATTTTAGTCACTGAATAAAACTTCAATTAATCGATAATTGTTCGAGGTTGGAGATCAGCCCTGAGACCTTTCGCATCTTGGCTTCCGTTTTATGTTTACACCTCTTGAATATTTCGCAAACGGAAGGAGTGCAGTTTTATACCATACGAAAAATAAGCTTACCCAAGTTGTGGTTATATTTGCCAGGGGGGAACCCATTGGAACGATATCATTCGAAAAATAGCCCTTATAACTCCAGATGGATCAAGAACGGTCCAAAGCACATGTGCCCCCGGAACGGTGGATATAGGCCATATCTAGCACACTTATCTTCCTGAGATTCACTCCTTGGTACTAGTTGAGAAAATAAAAAAGTGGTACATACTCAAAAAAAGATGGGGAGTGGTAGCTGCTTGTTGTGTTGTTTTGTGTATTAAAATGAGTATTAAGTTCAGTTATTTTCGTTCTCTGAATGGTAACTTAGCAAAACTTGCTTTTAGCTAACCACCTTCCTATTATGATTATTCTTGTATAGGGATCGATGCGATAAGGAAAAATAAAATCAGTTGGTGATTTCAAAGAAAAAGTAAAAGAACGTACCCGCGTGTCATACATGCGATCTGAATTTGGTGCATCAGTAAATTGAGCTAATCCTCTTGGCTGATATCAGCTAACAGATGATACATATAAATGCTCAATTCAATATACATGAGTAGAAAGTGCTGACATAGAAATATCACTTTTGGAGCACTGAAGTTTATACAGGAAATAATAAATCATTTTTTCCTATCGTATAGCATTAAACACACACACACATATATATATATATATATATATCGGTACGTTGAGAGGAAAAGTGACGCTACCTCACTTCTACAACTCTTCGAAAGAGCGTGAGTACAAAGCCGATAGTCGAGGATCCTCTGACAGTCGCTGCGCGAGTCGCTCGTACTTCTCACTTGCCTGATCAACATGCTTTGCTAAGCGCTCGTCGACTACTTTTATTCTACGTGTTGCCTCTTTACAATAAGCCGCAAATTCTTCAGCTTCTTTGCCACCCTCGATAGCAGATGCGCCCATCCTCTTCTTGTAAAGTTGCTGGCGTTTATTGAACTCGTCTTTTTCCTTGTCTATTCTCATTTGCATAATCTGACCACGCTGTATGAGACGTTCTTTCTGTTCCGATAATGCGGCGTCCCGCACCAATCTAGCTTGCTCTGCGGTGAGTTTGACAGACAAATAATTTCCATCGAAGTTTGATAGAAGCTTTAGCTTAGCGATGTACGGAGCGAGGTAATCCTTCTGTGACTCTTCCTTACGCACACGCTCAGCCAGCTTCAGCGCCAGCTCGGCCTCCGTTTCATTCGTGCGGTTGCGTAGAGTATCGTATGTGCTGAGGATACGCTCGACATTACGGTGATCCTTCTCTAAGGTGTTAAGAAGATGGATGTGCTCATCCAACTTTGCACGGACCTCTGCCAAGCATTCCGACTCCATAGTTGACAGAAATTTTCTCTCAGTATACAGCTCCAAGTCATTGGGTGGATCCTGTCCAGGCACTGTAGTTATTTTCACAGGGAGATCAGGAGGTTTCTTTGATGTAGAGGCAGCAATGTAGTCTTCTACACTTGATGAAACCTTTGTAAATACGTGAAACGGACGAATGATGCTACCCTCAGAATAGTGGAAGAAAATTTTCATTTCCCCGGGATTGTCTTTGGACAAAGCAGGTCGAGTGAAGGTTGCTTTGGCAACATCTTTATGGAAGGGAATACTTTCGTTACGCAAGAATTTCTGGCTAAGTCGGATAGGCCCCGGTCGTGGGAATTGGTTCAAGTTAGACCCATACCCTATGTTCACAGCATTTTCATGTGCATAAATCTCAGGCAAGTCTTCTGGCTTAGCAAAAGAAGCGCTTCGGTAGTATAAACGATCGGTGCGGCCTTTATAATACTCCTTGATTTTCTTAATCGAATGATTATCGTAGAAGAACTCAATGCGCTTATACAAGCCATCCTCACGTACCTTAGAGTAAAATTTCATAGTTCTTTCATGGCCTGGTTTGTAAATAAGCACATGGAGACCATCGATGAAAGAGCATCGCATACGGCCTCTTTCATACAACTCCTCGAGAACAAAGTTTGAGGGTAACCCCAAAACGTGGCAGGATTCATTGATGTGCTGAATATCAGCATCTAAGTTCCCCTGATTAATCAAGGTACGTCTCTGCAACTTATCGGCTCGATGCTGATAAAATAAATGCATCTTCTCATGACCATGTGGCTCAGAATCCATTAGGAGGACTTCTTTAACACAAAGATCCGGTTGAGAATATTCAGCAAAAAGACGTACAGTTGCATTAGAATACTTGAATTCCTTACAGTTCCCTGGATAGCGGCTTATATACTGTTGAGGGGTTATAGTCAGCTCTTTCACCCAAGAACTAGGGATTGAAATATTGCACCTCGAAAATGCTTCGACAGATTGAGTCAGATTCATGGTATCCTGAGCTAAATCCTGAAACGCACGGCGAACCAAAGTGGACGACAATGCTGATCCAGCTAAATCATTGGCATCGCTCTCGTTTTGTGTTGGAATAAGGCTTTCCCATTCAGATAAATCACGCAAATCAATCGATAACGAACTGATTGGAGACTCTGGTTTCATGTTCACATAATAGTTTTTGTTATTGAAGACAGATTCAATTCCCAAATAGTATTGATCAGCCTCTAATAAGGGAATAAGCTTTCCGGTTGCTGTCTCGATAAAGGTAGGATTTTTCAGGTCTTTCCTCCCCCCCCTCAGCACCATGACCCAACAGTGCAGCGGTCTAATTGAAGGAGTACTCACAGATTTATTTGCTTCAGGGTGACCAGAACGATTTTCAAGAGGTTCATCTTCATCAGACGGTACATCAGGGTCAGGGTCATCGATATTGCGAAGTACAGGACGTTGTTTTACTAAATCAATGTAGTCAGAATCTTCTTCCAGAGGTGCGTCACTATCATCGTCGTCAATGTTTATCTCTGGAAAGTTTTCATCAAATGCATTCATACTATGATCATTAAGACACAAAACCGGATCTGCGTAGCCAACTACTACAAAAGCATTATAACCCGAACCACAAAGCAACGAAACCAAAACAATGCTCATCTCTAGGCAGTTCCCGGTTTGCCACATCAACGCAGTCTTAGGTGATACAACCTGCGTTGGAATGTTCTCAACTATATCATTTTGGTTGTCAGTATAATTCTCGCTTTGATACAATGGTTCGTATCTCATATATCCAGAAATAAACTGGGCACATTTTTCCATGTCATACAACTCATCATACCTAAGAATACTCGGGCGGATAAAGGTGCAAATCATTTTCTTCTGACGACATTCATTATATACTACAAGGAGTAACGGCTTTCGCTTCGGAAAATATTTGTGAAATGTTATTTCGAGCCTTTCTGTAAAGGCTATCAAAGAATTTTCCTGGGGCGAATTATAAAGATAAGACCGCGGTATGTCAGTAGAGTGCAGAATCTGCTGCAAACGCTCGAATTTTGGAACTACTTCCATCCTAATGAATATCTTTCCTTGTGTTACAGTGTGGAACTTGTCATCTCTTAAATAAGACAAACTGATATAGAAAGGAAAAAGGCAATTGAATAGATCTAAAAAGCAATTCCTGAGTGCACAACGCTTGATTGCAGTCCGACCTACGCATTTCTTTCTTTTAGGCATATCACTAATAGCAAAATATGTAAAGAGATGTGGCAAAGTGCTAGACTTTGACCGTTGTCAATAGATGGAGCTACATGGAGCGACAATGGCTCCCCAAACAAACAAAAGTAACTAACTCCTATAAACTAATGAAGTTTCTACCGCGTTAAAATATCGACTGTTTTGGATTTGACCTAAAAATGAATAAATATATATATATACTAATGTTTTACATTAATCCGATTGAAGCTAAATGTCTTTCTTATGTGTATTTTTATAATTTTTCAGTTCTTAACGCATTAGGCCTAGCTATTAGAACACACTCATAATGTTTTCGACAGTAAAGATCCCAGTAAAAAATACCCCATCCTGCAGAAGCAAGACACAATAAGAAGCAGTAAAGTGGAACAACGGTTAGTAAATTAATAAGTCCAGGCATAGCAAAAATTCCTGTAAGCGTTTTGGGTTTGATTTCCGTATAGTTGATGTAAGCTGCCTCATTGCGTGCACCGACCTCTGAACCCTTTGTGCTACCCCTGTACTCCTGAGAAGAACGAGGATGGTGAGCCATTTCCTTCATCTTGAAATTCTGTACATACTCCTCAAGCTCTTGAGAGTTAACATCCTTTTTCTCGAGCATACTTCGTGCAATATTGCAGCACGCTAATAAGCCCCCTTTGCGTGCTGACATAATAAAAATACTTTTTTGCATGGTGGAAGAGCAATATTTGAGTAACTTTCTTTCCTATGACTAAAAATAAAAAACTGGCAGAGAATCGCTTATAACCCTTTACCGCATTGGAAAGATTGTTTATTCACTTAATGATCAGTACTAATGAGTAGAACCCCTTTAGGAGGAAGACCACCATCCCTCAGGAACACATCTCACATTAAAGATTATAAATACTTCTAGAAACAAAGTACAATAGTCGTTAGCTGAAGTCATGATTTTCACTACTTTGTTGTTGGGGTCGTTTTCATGGCCGATGTAGCCACTGCATTGAATATTGACAAGGCTTGGGTCGAAAAAACAGAAGGATCGCTGATTGGCTGAGACAGAACAACTGTATTCGTTTCCTTGGCAAGTTCGCCAAATTTATCAATATAATTTTGAGCTACGTTCAAGGAAATTGCCTCGCTGCTGTGCTTCGTATTCTCAATAGCTTTTGAAATTATTGCAATGTTATCCGACATTGCTTCTGCCCTCAAGCGAATCGCCTCAGAATCTGCCTCAGCTTTTTTCAATATGGTATATTTCTGAGCGTCTGCTGCCAACTGCTGGGCTGTTTTTAGTCCTGTAGCTCTGTTTGCCTCTGCGGTTGCTTCACCCTCACTTTCAAGAACGAACTTTCGCTTTCGTCTCTCGGCTTCAGCCTGTAAATCCATTGATTGACGTACGAGTTCACTGACGATGATATCTTTGATTTCATACCGTTTGCATTCAATGCCCCATTCGTGTGCTTCTCTGCGGAGCATGCCAACAATATTTTCATTCAGGCTTGCCCGTTCGCGAAAAAGGCTGTCAAGAGTCATGCGACCGATTTCGCTGCGCATAGTTGTTTGTGCCAAGTTGATCAAGTTGTATACCGGATTCTCGATATTGTAGCTTGCTTTTTTGGAGTCCACAATTTTCAAGAAGAGCACACCGTCAATCTCAACGATAACATTGTCACATGTAATTGCGGATTGATTTGGAATATCAATACCTTGTTCCTTGACATTGTAATTATATCGAATCTTATCAATTATAGGTATGACAAACCACCAGCCCGAGCCTAACGTTCGATGGTAACGACCTAGACGCTCAACAACGTGCTCATGACCTTGCGGAACAATATTCAAAATCTTATTTCGAGGAGGAGTCTCAATGAATAAGGAAGGATCCATGAAACGCTTTGGGGGTCTTGGCTTCATTTTTTTACCCGGGTTCACAGCTATCGAGGATTCAAGTGACTTCTGTCCAGCGGATGGTACAGAAACTCTAGCTTGGTTATAAGACTCGAGAAAGAATACTGCCCTGCGCATTTGAATTTTAATGGATAGTTCAACTAATGAGAAAAGGCAAAACAAAATGAACAAAAGAACTAAAGGTCTGATTCATCGAACATGAGAAATCTAGCAGGTTTTTAAAGAATTCTGCGTGATTTTCCTTCCTCACTTATTGACAATAAATTTTAGCAGTCACTTAGAAATCATCTTCAGCTAATGAATCCAGGCAGATAATCACAAAATGGGAAGTATCTACCTCAGGTGCTCTTAAAAAATAGAAACCTGTTCCTGTCAAATTCATCAACACAGCCTCTACACTTTTCCCAGTAGAATTCCAAGCCCTTATTCGCATCTTTTCGCTGAGGGAGATGGGCTCGGTGAGCCAGGGGAGCAGGTATGCTGGGGAGGAAGGGGGACGTGCTTACGTCTCCCCGCCGGGCCTGAAACAAAGGGCCTATATGCAATGGTAGGGTAAGTCAGAACGATTATGTAAGGTATGGGGTGCTAGCCATGGCAATGCCACAAGTTTATAACTAGAAGTAATTTACTAGAATATAAAAACTGCATGAAATGGATAATTTTTGGCGCCCACTACCCCCCCACCCCCCTCACCCCAAAGAAAAATAAAATTTGTATTCAACGTTGAATTAAAATATTTATCGACAGTGGGAAGGTCATTTATGACCTATTCTTTCCCCATAAGTCCTTCTAGCCGGTGCTATTTGTTAGGACCTCTATGAATGTTGTTCTATAGTTGAGGACGAATTAACGGAGCGTGTTTTGGAAAATTCTACCATACCTTTTGACGTACCACCGCGCGTTTGTTCGTCATGGACCTATTTGATACGCCACATCCTCTTACACGCTATGTCTCTAACTAATATTGTGTAGGGTGAGAAAGATATGAGAGTGAACTTGTGGGAAAGTCGAGTATTTCGGAGTTATGTGTAAAGGGGAATGTAAAGATTTCCCTCGAACGGATCTAGGCAACGGACATGGCGTACTTTGATTTTATGAAACACGACCTGATTTTAGGGGAGACAAATGGCTAAAAATATCACAAATTGGTCAAGAGAAAATCAGAGATAATGGTGCCGAAAAGGAAATCCTTATTTCGAATTAAGTCACAAAGATGCTTTGCTTTACCTGAATCATCGACAGACTTCCAATGAAAGATAGTTTAAAGGGAATCAGGTCTATTCCAAGTGACATCGCTAATCCTTTTTGGTGGAGCTGTTGCAGGTTTGCTTAGCACGTTCTGAAAATAAAATTCATTCTTACAAAGTATAAAAAAATCATTTGTGATATGAAAATTTAGTTGGTTCTAGCTCGTCTTGGGTATCAATTTAAAAAGTGCTATAAATCATTTCCATTTCCTAGGTTAAGCAAATGTCCAGATGGATCTTTTGTTATAATTTTGTACATTAGGTTTTTAAAAAATTCACATGTAATTGGTGAAGTAGATTTCTGTGCATTAGTGCCTGGATCTGCAAACAGGAAAGTTCTTGAGGGGCAAATGCACTTTTTCATTTCTGTTGTGACTAAATACGACAAATATCTTTTAATTTCTTCTTAATGATACATGATATCACAACTTTAAGAGGAGAAAAAATCGAGTAAATAAATATTCATTTATAGTCTTTTTACTTAAGATGACTCCTTTGACATTACCTTTCATGTATTGACCTAACTTGGTTAGTGCTATATATACTGCAAGGATACGTGAGGATGGTATAACTTGTTCTGATTATATCCCATGTGTCCAGGACGAAAAAAATGTGACAGCGAAAAATTCAATGAATATTGCTTGTAAGTGTTAAAATTGTGTTTTATTTATTATATCTGTTTTCATTTCTAGTGTTCAAGAGTTCCCACACAAGAAAACATATTTCTAAAGAAACATGTTCCGTAAATTCTCCAACTATTTATCAAAAAAGCCTTCTGAGGCTTACAAGGAACTCGCGACACTGGGGAAAATAGTATCTGATGAAAACCAAATAAGGGCCTTACCTGTTTTTGATCGACTATATGAGGATTTAGTTGAATATAAAAATAGAGAGAAAACTACTCCTACGCTTAAAAGGAAAACGGAATTACGCCCACCGAACCGTTTAGGTATTATACCGTCATTTTTTCTTTACCAGGAACAGAAAAAAAAAGTTCTTCGTGCTCTTGCTTCGATTACGAATGGTAAAAAAGATTCTGTTGACAGCTATCATCCTTTGTCTAACGTGAAAGGATTGTATGTATGGGGTAGTGTGGGATGTGGAAAAACGATGCTTATGGATCTCCTTTATGATAATTTGCCCATGGATATTAAGAAAAAGCGCATTCATTTCCACCAATTCATGCTTGATGTTCAAAAAACGTCTCATAGCATTCGCTATAAGACCAAGGAGGACATGCAAAACATTAACAACCGCTCAAATATGTTTAACTACAACACTGATGATGGTCTAAAAAGAACACCAGGGGCTGAGATCAATATATTTGATGAGCTAGCACAGCGTCTAATCAGCGATGTGGAGCTTCTCTGTTTTGACGAAGTAGCAGTTTCTGATGTCGCACATGCAATGATTTTAAAGAGACTGTTTAATTCCTTTTATAAGATAGGCTTGGTTGTTATCTTCACTTCCAACAGGCCCCCAGACGACCTCTACCTAGGTGGTCTGAATCGAGGATGTTTTTTACCATTCATTGATCTTGTAAAACTACAAACACATGTCTATCACATGGCAAGTGGCACTGATCATCGTTTGCTAGGTCATGAGGGTGACACATATTTAACTCCATTTAACAAAGAAAATGACAAAAAATTCGCTCAATTGTTTATTGCTTTGTGCAAGGGAATGCCTTCGTCGGAGCGCATTTTAAAAGTTTTTGGCAGAGATGTAGTTGTGCCACGCGCATGCGGTGGCGTATGCTGGTTCGATTTCAGCGAAATTTGTGGGTCAGATGTTTCATCTGCTGATTATGAATTAATAGCTGCAACTTTTCATACAATCTTTATTCGTGGTGTCCCCGTCTTTTCCTACAAGGACAGTGATGTGAAGAATCGGTTCCTTTTGTTAATTGATGCGTTGTATGAATATCGCTGTAAAGTGGTTATTTATGCACAGGCGGAGGTTTTTAAGCTTCAGGCTAGTGAGGCTGATTCTGTGGAGATGATTGCTGATGGCGAGCGAAGATTCGATCAGCTAACCGATATTGAAAAAGAAATGGGGGGGGAGTTAACAGATTATTCCGATCTATCCTTTCAAATGCAGCGCTGCATTTCTAGGCTTTGCGAAATGAGTTCTAAAGAGTACCTTGAATCTCCTCATAAAAAAACGTATGTGCCTGAATAATTCGTTTTTTTTACACCTTTTTGTTTATTTTATTTATTATTTATCAGCAACTTCCCAATACGCTCCTGTTTATTTTTTTCCCATTGACTTATGTGTCTAAAACGCTGCTTTTATTTTGTCTGAAATATGGAATTTTCGTGAGACTCCTTCCCCCTCTTCCCTCATCCCTTAAGAAAAAAAGGAAAAACGCTTTGTTATTGATGATTCCTTCGTGTTTCTATTAGTAATGTATAAATCCTCCATTATAGAGATCGAAAAAAAGAAGGCATTAAACTATTCCGGTGTTAGTGGGAATTTCCTCATGGTATTGTGGACATGTTCAATGTGTAGCTAATAACCTCAACTTATGCTTCTACTATAATTGCCATATTGTCAAAGAAGTATTAAGTTCAAGTGCTTCTCAATATCAATGAAGATAATTTTATCTTTCATTTTACTCTTTCTCATTGCTATTCCAGTTCTGGCAAAGTGCAATGAAGCCACTGAAGATTTGCCCCGTGGTGTGATTCGCGGTCCGTTATTGCATGAACACAGTCTGCAGTCTCCCTTAGTTCATGACTGGTGGGAAGAAGGTATTCCTCATTTCATGATTGGAGGCTCAGCGATTGCGACTACCAATTTTATTCGTCTAACCAGCAACAACCTTGACGATCACGGGTTTGCCTTCAACACAGCGCCAATGGACCATGACAGTTGGGAGGCTCGAATTAAATTCTCTATTCGCCCGCCAGCTCCAGCTATGCGTTTCAATACTAGCGGGATTGTATATCAAGGTGGAGATGGTCTTGCAGTTTGGTATTTAGAACAGCCAATCGGTGATGACCATCAGCACGTTTTGAAGTACAGTAAACCCATTACTCGCGAGATGGATTTGGAAATGCGTGATAAGGAAGATCCTTGGAGGCTTGTTGACACTATTCTTAACACAAACGAAGAAGAGTTTGACGAGTTTGACGGTATACCTGACGAAGACCTGACTGAAGAGGAAAAAAAACGACGCGATGACACGAATGAGCGCATGAAGCTTAAACAGAAACAGCGAAATGAGCTATTCCGGAAGATTTTTAAAAGAGGTGCTTCTGTGGATGACTCAGATCAAGAGCCCCGCATCATGGGTGTGAGGTACTCAGATTTCAGTAAGGGTTTTGCGATAGTGCTTGACTCGGTTGGTGACGAAGATGAAGAAAAAGGTAACGCTATTGGGAACCATCGCCACAAATCTAGCATTTCATTACTGCTTAACCTACCAAATCACACAGTTGAATCCGGTGCTGCCATACATAATAATTTTGATGCGACACAGACAAACTTCCGTAAATTCTCACCTGTTCTTCGATGCGAATATGATTTTCGCCAGTTGTCGAGTAAGCGGTACACGTCAAAGGAGGGTGTGGATGAAGAAACTTGGGCGCTTAACGCCCATGAAGAACCAGCTGAATTAATCATTCGTTATTATAAAAAGAAACTTTCCATAATTATTCTACGTGAAGATGTAACGAAAAGAAAAGTTTCCCATGCAGCAAACAAAAACATGGCAGACAATGCCAAAATAGTCGACATCAGACGAACATACAAGGAGACACTCTGTGGGGAATTGTTTCCGGTCGAGATTCCCCTTGGGTATCACTTTGGGATTTCTGCTAGCACTGGTCACCTTGAAGACCGCAAAGGACATAAAGGGGGAGAAGATACTTTTCATCAAAGAGAAAGTGACATTTCAACGCATGTGGACATCCATGACATCCACAGGATTGAGTTCCGTGAGCTTGGAACCGATCCCAAGGGGATGGGATATACAAAGAGTGTTCCCATTGAGAGATTCAATTATGAAGGTGATCAGCGTGAGCGTGAACACTTCTCCAGGCAGATACCTTCAGTACCGGATCCCGACGTTACATAATTATGTATTGTATCAAGAGTTTTCTTTTCTCATGCAACAGTGGTAAAAAAAAATAATTTGTGGAAAATGTTAAATGTAAATATTCTCATGTGTTAATATTATCGAAATTATGTCTACAATAATTTGCTAATGTCCGCACGGATGCTTTCGTACCTCACCAACACGCTGGTCATAGTTAATATAAGAGCAGGCAAATGGTACGTACCTTTATTCTGACCTTGGTCTCTATATTTATATATTTTAATTATTCTTCATCAATGAAATTCCGTTCCTTTTCGCTAGAGTGATGGAACTCAATAATAAAAAAATCTGCCTTTTGCTGCCCAACTTATCTTTTTCCCAACATATTAATACAGAAAACTTGAAACAAAGCTTTTCCACTCTTTTTGTGCCAATGTCTGAGGATGGTGAGGAGGTTGCCTTAGAGCTGCCGCAAATATGGAAACTTATTCATCCACACTATGATGAAGATTCTTCCGATGAAGAGGACTCTGAAAAGATTCCCCAAAAAAGAAAAATTGAAGATTATGTAAAGCTTTCCAAGCGTGCCCCACGTTTGAGTATGCTTTTGCGGTTTCTCAATAATATCGAAGATGTGGAAGAACTGCAACAGTTGGTTCTACCCAAAGATCCTGTAACACAACAAACTCTGCTCCAGTGGTGTACTCTGAACGACCACTTCATGCTTGGGGAGTACCTTGTGAGGCGTCTCCAACGTGGTGCCTTTGCTTTTGATCCTGATTTCGACGAGATTGTTGTGTATGACCGCTGGGATGAAATGCGGCCGGAGCTTCCCAGCGCCGAAGAGGTTGCTGAGCGTCAGAGGCAGCGTGATCATGAAAGGATAGAGCGGATGGCCTTGCGTGTGCAACAACAGAATGACGATGAGGAGGATTTTGAGGAGGATGAAAACGACGAAGAATATGCGGAACCCGTCCCTGAGGAACTCGTGTACAACTCTTTGGAAGAGTTTCATGAACAGTGGGGCGACCGTGGCGTTGGTCTGGTCAAGCGTGTCGGAGAGCTCGGTGTATACGCCGGGGCCCGGATGCGTGATGGGACGAAAGAAGGTCTTGGGCAAACCCTCTTTCCGAATGGGGACTGCTACACGGGCTTATACCGGCAAAACGAGCGCCACAGCAAGGGGATTTACTGGTGGTCGCAGACCTCTGCTCTGTACTGTGGTGAATGGCTTAAAAATTTACGTCATGGCTACGGTCGTATGGTGTACCCAGACGGCTCTCGTTACCTTGGTCATTGGGCGAACGATTCGAAAAATGGCCAGGGGCGCTATATTTACGTGGATGGCAGCACCTACGATGGGATGTGGGTTAGCAATGAGAAGCACGGTAGAGGCCGCTACGACTTCCCAGACGGATCATCTTACGTTGGTAGTTTTTTTCATAATGACTTCGTTTGTGGGGAGTGGCGGCTGGCATGCGGCACCGTGCGTTATGTGGGCAGCTTTGAGAAAGACGTACCAGTAGGAGCCGGAGTGTTTGTGCATCGGTGCGGATTAAAACCCGGTAGCTTTATGCAAGAGGGAATCTATCAAAATGGCAGCTGGATTCCAGGTGCAATCAAGAAGTCCACGAAGCTATCACCATTTCTTGAAGTTGTCGTGCCCGGACAGGATGAGTGTCCACGCGTGCCAATAGAGTTTGGGTCGCTTTTATTGGCCGACGAGAGTTACACTATAACCGATCTGGTTAAAGTGGCTAACTTCATGCCATTTCAGCGCTGGTTGTGTTCTCTGTCGGCTGTCTCTCCGGATAAAGATAAGTCCATTCTTAAACAAGTTGAGGTGGTTGGTATTAAAGTCGGGAAGCATGATCACGACCGAGTGGTTGAAGTTGGAATACGACCACTACTGGTCAACACCGAAGGTGTTCGGATCAACACAGAGCTTAGCGAAGAAGAGAGAGTTATTACGCTAAGAGAACCTTCAATGCGACTTTTGTTACTGCTGCTAGTTGGAGAGGAGCCCCTGGTGATTCTTGAGAGACTTCCTCTCGACACTGACTCAGGAAACGAAGGTGCGACAATGGATGCGGCTCACGGCTTGCCTCAGCTTCGATGGACTGCTGAAGGCTGTATAGATGGTGAGGTGATTCGAACCCTGATGCCGGCCCTTCGGCTTGACATGAATGAGCGAACCCTGAAGCATCTAACAGAGCCCTCAGGGGCTTTCAGCTCGGAGGACTGCGATATTTGGTTGTTTGCTCAAGAGCTTCATCCTGACACTTTGGCAAGACTCGAAGAAAAGTTCGAGTCTTTACCATCATTCAAATATGAGCTTATCAGCACCGTACAAGATATACCTTCGGATATCGCAACTAAGAACACACTCTCAGAATTTTTGCACATTTATAAAGAAGGGATCATATCGCCACTGGCCACGGCCCCTGCCCAACGGCCACCAACGCCGATCCCACCCTCTGTCAAACCCCGGCCCGAAATGCAACCTTTGTACACCGCCAAAGCTGCACTCGAAGAAGCTTTAGAAAATGATGAGTAGGCTTGTTCAGAATTTGTTTTTTAGATGTGCTCTTGTCTATGAAGGAGCGACTAGGTACCCCTTTTATCCCTCGAAATGCCCAACTTCCTTTTTTTTTAGAAAGAGGATAATGAATAGCATGGTTTAAATCTGTATCTTTATACAATGTAAATAGGCAAATATGTAATTCAAAAGACAAAACTAAGAGAGAGATTAAAAAATGTCCACTGATGCTTCACGACCATATGAAAATGTTACCCTATTTGGCATTACCTTCCTTCCTCATTTCGTATATTTGCTTTGTATTTGACATTTCTGGTAGTTTTCATAAATCAGTGGCAAGACACACACATATTACTTATTTTCCTCTTTTTATTCTTAGCTTTGTACTTCGCATCGTTATTTTTCATTGGTAAAACAAGAATATGTTTTTTTCTACTTATGTTCTTACCAAGAAGGGCCCTTTGGCAAAGGTATGGCTGGCAGCGCACTGGGATAAGCGGTTGACACGTAATGAGGTTAAAGTAGTAGATCTTAGCCAGATCATCATGCACATCGTGCGACCGATAGTTCCCATTGCATTGCGCACATCGGGTGAGCTCTTAGTCGGTGTGGTGCGTATTTATGCCCTCAAGGTAAAGTATCTCCTAAAGGAAGCTACAGAAGCGACAATTTTCTTGAGGGTAACAACCACCAACACAGTAAAAGATGCAGGTGCGGCTTGCACCTTGCCGATGGCAGTAGAAAAGGCTACCACAGCGAATGGCATGTTGGTTAATCACAAAGGAGACGTGGAAGCGGTCACCCTCGCGTGGGGCAAGGAGCTTGTGGCCAAGTACGGATCCTTCTCGGAGGCGGCAGAAGCCTTTGGTGAGGGCCGCTTCGATGCCATTGCCGACCTACTTGGTGCCCAGCGCGTGGAAGGGCTGCATAAAGGAGATGGGCTGCTCGCTTCGGCGTGGTATACGGTCGAGCCCACTTCTCAGATTGCCGATGGTCCACGAAGTTCTCAACAGGATTACGATGAAATAGCGAAGATGAGGGCAGATTTAATGACCTTTAACGAGCGCGCCAGTGGTAGTAGCACAAGCAAGAGTAAATCCAGTTTGTCTAGCATCGAGAAAGGTCGTGGGAGCGCGGCGGCCGCGGTAGGAGCGGCTGAGGGGGAAGGGGGTATTCCGTTCCCCCCTGTCACGGACGAGCTCGATATTGGGATCCCTGTACCAGACGAAATGCCGGGGGAGCTCTACCACGCCCTCGGATCCCAGGTCCCCGGCTACGTCCCAGAGGATCTCTTCACCTTGCCGGCCCTG